ATATATATATATATATATATATATATATATATATATATATATAATGTATTTGTTAAGTTTAATAATTAAAAGATATCCTTATTTATTTTCCAATATTTAGACAGTTTATTTTATTTTAATTAATAGAGGTTATATACTAAAATTTAATTTTTTATTTTATTACTTTTTAAAAGGTATGTAAAGTCCATAAATGGGTAAGTAAAGCTCGATGGAGAGAGTGATTTTCTACTAAACTGAAGAAATCATACTATATTTTTTGTCCATTTTTATTTGTTCGCTATATTACCTTCTAAATATAATATATTTAATAATTTGTGAAATGATATAGTTTAGAATAAAATACTTAGAAACTAAGTGATAAATTATTTTTTGATTTTATAAAATTAATAAGTTAAAATGGACACCTATTTTGCTATAGTGAATAAGTATAGTGAATAAGTAAAAAGGAATTAAAACATACTAATAAAGGTTAATTTTGTGAAAAAACCTTTTAAATTATTAGAATTCGGTATTTCGTGGAGGCGAGTGTCTAAGCTAAAAACACATATATAATATGAATCCAAAAGGTATACACGTATGTTTAATTTGTAAAATACAAAGAAATACGTTAATTTCATTGATAACCCTTTTATTTATTATTTAATTTCGTTTAAATATTCGACACAAATAATATGTTTCAGTTGAACACCTAAACATATAGATGATAAATTATTTATATTACTCGCTCCCGACCCCAACCTGTAGTTTAAAGTGTAAAAAAATGTGCACTTTATATATTTATAAAGTCACGTATATAAAATTAAATATTTACGAGTCTATTTAACCTTTTGTATTTAATTGCAATAGTACTCATATTTGAAGTCAAAGCCATCCAAATCTCGTGAGCAGATATGGTTAAAATTTCAATCACACGTTTTCCACGTCCAAAAATTTGCAAAATGGATTGATCTCTTAATTAAATGATTTCTTGTTTGTTTGTATATATTTCTCCAATAATAATGCAAATGGTACTAAGCATTAAAAGCTGAAATTTACTATTCAATTAATGTACTGTAGAGACATTTAATTTAGTTGAAATTGTTGGTTACGCATTTAAGGTGTAATGTAAAAGAATATTAAAATATTTTAAATCTAAGTAGTCCATCGACATGAACTAAGTTTTGAGTTCAAAATAATTATGGGAGTAGTATCTCTGAAAAAAGAAAAGAAAAAACTAATAATTAAATTGTGCAATTATTGAAGAAAAGCTATAAAGAGATTGTTCAAATTTTAGAATCCTATTTTTATGATTATTATATAACCGTAAAGTTGAATTATGTGATTTCAAATAGTAATAAATTTACATAGTCATGATTCACGTGACATGTTGATTCATTGAAATATTATTACTAAAGAGGGGTAGTTTTTCTTGATAATTAGTTATGTTTGGCGTAACTTGACTTTTATTAATTATTATTAGTACTAATAAGAAGATTAAAGTATGAAACAATTAGGTAGACATTTTTGTGTCTCTACAAATCCCGGAAGCTTCTAAATTTAATTAATATACAACTTCTTAATTGTTTATAGGTTACATTAAAATAAAATTATTAATAAACAAAAAGATTTGTATATGTAAATTTCTACAATGATTTACTTCCTCTAATTTATTTTTTTTAATATACTTCCTCTCTTCTTTCCTTTTTCTTTTTCAAATAAAATTTTATATAGTTGCTTTCTATAAAATAAAATAGTGAGCACATTAGGAATATTATAATCGACAGTATTCATATATTAAAAATGTACAATAGATTTTGTGCGTGTAATATCATCGAAATTTTATCAATCATCCAACTAATAATGATTTATTATCACTAATCTGTCGGCCATTAACATTAAAAAAAAAAACCCCTCCACACTATTTATTAATAATTCTACGCCGAAAAAAAAAAGAGAAAAAAAGAACTCAACATTTTTTTCCTTTTTTTTTTTGTTGCTCATAATTCAGGCAATTCTAACATCAACTCATTAGATCTTGTAAAAAGATCATCCCAAAACCAATTATCATCAAAGCTAGAATTAATGTGGTAATTATCCTCCATTAATGACAAATCAACATAATTGTCATCGACTTGTGCCCATACTACCTCGGACCAAATATCGTCATCAATTTCTAACAAATTATCGGACATTATTTGATTTCTCGACTCTGAACTCGTTGCAGTTGTATTTGAACATGAATCTTCACTTGATGATGATACTGACGATGATGGACTTGGTTGTTGTTGGATTTCGATGTTTATTTTAAGATTCGATATTTCGGAATGTTTATCATTAGAATTGTTGGCCTCCTCCAAATGTACATCTACATTAGTATTTTCAGGCTCCGATTGGGTTTCTTTAAGTTGAGATTCATTCCTTTTTTTCTTCAGACGAGTATGCCAAATGTTTTTTATTTCGTTATCTGTTCTTCCGGGTAATCTTGCTGCAATAGCAGACCAACTGTAACAATTTTTTTAAAAAAATCAATGTCAAAATCAAATATTTTTATCGAGCCGTTATATTAAAACATAACAAAATATTATATTAATTAAATGTCTCCGAATGGAACATTACGCTGCACAAATCTAAATCTAAGTTAGTCAATGAAGTAAAAATATACCTGTTTCCAAGAACTTGATGCAACTTGATAATTGTATCTTCTTCTTGATGAGTAAAATTGCCTCGCTTAATATCAGGTCTCAAGTAATTAGTCCATCGAAGCCTACAACTTTTTCCGCACCTTAATAGACCTGAAAATAATATAATGTTGAAGAAAAATTCAAAATTTAAACATTATGAGTAACAAAACACCTGCATTATTCGCTTTCGTCCTTATTTGGTGGACGAAAGCGAATAATGCACACTAAAATTAGTAGTACCTGCAAGTTTTGGAAGTGCACGCCAATTAGGATGACCATTCTTTTTAATGTAATTGATGAGTAAATAATCTTCTTCTTTGCTCCATGGACCTCTTTTCAACCCCAATTTCTCACAGCAAGGAGATCTCCCCATTTTATTTTTTCTCTCTCTATACTTTGTTTTGATTTTTCACTTGGAACTTGGAGCTGATATAGCATAAAGCTAGGATGCTCTATTGGGGTATTAATACTACTCAGTGGATGTCGGTAAAATTGTACCGCACTATTCTTTCGTTTCAATTTATATGATATATGTCATATTTCGATATTTAAATAAATTTATGTTTGTTTATAAGTTTTTCTTTTTTGAATTGTGATTTATAGTTAATTTTATTTTTACGTAATTTATAAATATATAAATTTCATTTGAAAAAAATAAAAATTTCATGTGTAAATTTCTGATCGAACTTAAACTTATTTGACTTTCGAAAAAAATATATGCCACATAAATATAGACAAAAGTAATATATATTTCCTCCTTTTCATATTACTTGTCCACATTAAACAAAAGTTATTTGAATTATGTGTCAATTTACAAAATAAAGAGAAAATTAATTATTATTTTTCTATAGTTAGTTCTTTTTTTTTTTGTAAACGTAACAAGTTTGAACAGTATATTTTTAAAAATAAAATAGGATATAAAATTATTTAAAAAAATTATGTTTTTTCTAAAAGACGTGTGAATGTATAATCAATTCATTTTACTTGTCACTTTTAACATATAAAAAAATTATTTTTTATGTTTTACATATAGTATTAACTATTTATCATCCAAATTATTTTCCAAGACTTAACATTAAACATCAATTTAAAAAGATAATGTGATTATCAAGCACTAGTTATTTGAATATTATTTTTTACTGAACGTCATTAATTTAATTGTGAAAAGGCGAATGGAGAAAGTTGTAACATTCCATTTTAAATGAAGACATGATTTTTTCGTGCGTTTCCGACGTGACAATTATTCATGTAGTTAAAGTTGATTTGTACGGATAAATACTCGATCAGTTCACAATTATTGTTATTATATTAAAAATAATTATTTAAAATCGACTATCAATTTAAATAATTAAGAAATAATTAATCATTTTTTTAAATTTTGTCTTTAATGTGAAAAGAAATGTTTTTTTAAGTTATAAAACTGTTTTAATGTGATAACGTTATTTTTATCGTTTTCAAAAAGTACATATCATTTTAATAATGATTAATAGCAGAATTATATTAGTTAATTTTTATATTATATTAAATTTTTCTTAAAAATTGTGCATAATATTATCGTAACAAATAATAGTGAGTTGAGGAAGTACAATAAACAACATAATGGATTCAACCAACTTTTATAAATATTATCTTAATATATAATAAAACTTGACTAAATTATTATTTGTTTAATTAATAATTTACTTAAGATAATATATTCATCGGTTCCGGCCAATAAAAAAGAATATTCATTTCTATATGTTAATATATTTTGAGAGACATATATGAGTATATGGTCTCATTAGTATTATAAATTAATAATTTTTTAAATATATCTAAGACAATTTAGTTAAATATAATTATATTGTGTTTTGTCTTTAATTAAAATTAAAATTTAGTTGAAACTCAACTTTAACTTATCTTTTTGCATTCAAAAATTTTGAGATTGTCTTTTCAAACTGCACCATAAAATTTTAAAAAGATTTAGAAACAATAAGTGTTTCCTTACGGCTTACGTGTAACTAGTTCCAAAGATGTTGTATCATCTTCAAGTCTATCATCAATATTATTTTTTCCAATGGTATCCGGCCACAATTTATCCTAAGCTCTTGATTTCCGAACATTTATTATTTTTACTGGGGTAATCCAACATGTTTGCTTACAATTTTATTTTGATAATCGAAATTATTAATTATAGTCTCCAGCTCATGAATGATGTTTTCGCTAATGAGTTAATTAAGATAAATTCTTTGATATTTGATCTACGAACGAATCTGCAGTATCAAAATACTCTTTAAATTAATTTATTAAAAAAATAATATATTTATAAAATAATAATAATTTAGCCAACCTATATTAATTTATTGAGTTTTACGATATGATAATAGAATCATTACTCCATTATTTAGTATCCCTGGTCCCTGGACGACAACAAAATCTGATTAGGAGTCGCAATTTTTTTATTTAAAAAGAAACGTAATTATTCTTGAAATTAAGTATTTATGAACACTATTTATCGTTGTAGTAATTTATTGCAACTACTAGTCGTGAAATGACTTGTTTCTCATTACTAAGAATAAATGAGAATATTTCGTCTATATAATTTTGATCAATCTATGAATAAAGAATAATTGAAACTTAAATTATGCATACTCTTAACTTTCAATGCTATTATATCTGTATAAAGAATAAATATGTGAGTGTTGAATAATTCATCACGTCATTAACATACTTTTTAGAGACTTACATCTTAAAGAGAAATACTAAATAGTTTGTTTTTAAAGTCATCAGATAATTCGAATTAGTATAATCAATTTAGTAGTTACATAACGTTAACCTGTTTATTTGTCACATTGTAATTAGAGTATAATTACAAATGCACTGTTTGATTGCATAATTATAACCATATGATTATTTTAAATTTTAAAAATAAAATTTTTTATTAGACAAGTAAGGACGTTTACAAATAATACTCAAATTACCAAGATGGACTTTTCAAACAGCCCCTAAGAGACATTAGACATTAATATCGGAAAAAGGGTTTTAAATACCTTTGAATTATTGAAAATGATATAAAATTACCATTTATTTATCTATTGGCTCCAAAATGCTCTTTTCATCCACCTATTGACTCTAAAATACCATATCATCCATCTTTGAGTTCTAAATTGATGACTTCTTTAATTATTTTAAAATTAAACTCTTTAAATATTTTTTAAAATACTTGGCGTTCAACTATTGATTATAATTTAATTTATTAATATAATTATAAACCAACCCACTACTCATTCATTACTATCTAAACCCCGCCCAGTTAATAATCCAATTATAATATCAAAACCGTCATAAACACTACTAAAACAGAATGAAATTATAGATTCCTGAAAATAATATCCAAATTATTCGATTCCGAATCGAAATCTCAATTAAATTTAGGTTGAGCCGCTAATTTAGGAGGAAACTTTCAATAAGATCTTCTTTCAAGATTGAATTAGAAATTTATGATTAAAGGAAAAGAAGTAATACATTGCGAATTAATTCATGCACTTTTTTAAAATATAATTTTACGAATATTTCTGATTTGTTTTAAAAACTTTAATATATTATTTTGAAAAGAAGTTACCTGTGAAATAACATTACATAATTGAGACGTAAGAATAATTAAGATGAATATAATCAAACTTTTAAGTTTATTGGTAATTTTTATTTAGACACTTGAATGTATGATAATTTACTTCTATATATATTTTTTGCCTCAAATTTTTAAAAATACTCAATTGACCTTAGCTTTTCCGTTGTTGCATTAATAATGTAACGAATTTATTAATTTGGAGGAGTTTAATTAGTAATGGGTGGGTATTGGATTGATTTATAAATTATATTAATAAGTTCAATTATAAACCGTTAAATAAGTGATCAATTTTGAACCAAAAGATGGATGACAAGAGCATTTTGGACCCAATAGGTGGGTAGGGAATGATATTTTGGAGCCAATATGTGGATGAAGAGTAATTTTATACCATTTTCATTACTTTAAGGATATTTTAGGCCTTTTTTCCGCATTAATAATCATAGTAACTATTATTAATGAGAAAATTGAGGACTGTGTTATTTAACTAGTGATGATGATACTCATCTATTTCTAATTACTTATCTACTTTTATGGTTGTTCGTAATTACTATTTCATTTTGATAAATTAAGAAAGAAGAAAATAATTTTTAATTATAATTAATTACTTCGAAGAAAATATAATATTTTTAAAATATTAAATTTTTAATTTTTCAATTAATAAAAATAAAATAATTTCTCCGTACAATGATTTCTATATTTTCGGATTGTGGTCCCATATTACGAGCTCACACGATGAAATATGAACCCCTACACCATATCACTTGTGTCTACTTTTGTTTTATATTTTATTAAACAAACGAAAATAAGGAATGGGTTACTACTTACTAGTCTCAAGGGACAAAGCTGTCTTTTTGTTCTGAATTAAAGAATTAAATCAATTTTTTATGAATAGGGTTCTAACCTATGAGGTTACGATCAATTGATCGACTCTATCTATTTACCTCTGGGCTATAGGGAACAACAAAGAGTTATCCAGTCAGCACAACGAGTCTTTACTCGGATAGATAATGTCGATTTTTGATAACTTGCTAAATTTTACCATGTAAATAGTTATTTGATTTTATACGTTATTAAAAAAAATTAAATAATTTTTTTAATTAAGTTATTTTTTTAACATATTTCATATATATAGATTTTATTTATTAACATCAAGATGAATAATGAATACTTTTTTAAACTTAATAATCTTTATGTATACTTTTTTTAAAATGACAATTTTATTTTTGTTTCTCCTTAGTAATTTGAAATAATTTTTTTAAAGTAATTTAGATAATAACATAAGATGGAGAAAATATATTAAACAAATGATACAAATGTTTGGAGATATTACAAAGAGTGTACACGTAGGGTAATGGAAAGCAGGACAAGTTATAATAACAAATCATGGTCATGATATAATATAAAACAAGTATATTTCACCTCAATTATTGTGTTAACTTTGTTTATTTATTTATTTAATTTTATATAATACATAAATATATTTATTAGTACAATTGAAGTTCAAGAATATAAATTTTATTTTTTTCTACTCTATTCATCTCAATTTATTTCTATATATGTACTATATTTGTATGTCATACTTTTATAAAATTGAGGTGTTTATAATATTAAGAATAATACTATATTACTACTAAATGAGAAAGATAATTAAATTTATTTTAAATTTCTTAATATGATGACATAATTTGAAATACTAATCAAGACAAATCATTTGAGACAGCTAGAAATAGTGTACGGGTTAATTTCTACCGCAAAAATGGCAACGTTTCATTGGTTTATACTACTCCGCCAATGGCTTTACTGTACTTTCCTGACAAATTTTTAAAATCCAAAGTATA